GGGTGTTTCATCAGAGAACCAAGTCTCTTAAACCCTGAAGCACGGAATCCGACGGGGCTGATGCTTGTCGGTGCCAGTCAGTAGAATTCCGCGGTAGCGAGTGGAATACAGAGGCCTATATAACTCGAGTAGTTGTGTGGAGTTTATTATAGTATATTACATGGTTTGTGTTTATAGAGGGCTTATACTGGTAGTATATTATATGGCTTTTAATCGAGGGACTGGAGGGGGCTTTTGTGCGGAAGAGGGAGCTCCCCACACCCTCAACCCTAAACCTTACCCTCACCTTGCAAGTACCCTTTCATAGAGGTCCTTGAACTGTGGGTGCCTAGGCTCGAATAAGGGGTAGTTAATTGGGACCCCAAACCCCAGACCCTAACTTCAAAGAAAACCCTAAATCCCCAAACCTAAACCCGAAAACCCCAAGCCCTCCCCGCCCCCCACCCCACCCCGAAATCCCTAAACCCTAAACCCCAAACCCTAAGCCCCAAACCCTCAACCCCGAAACTTCAGCTGTCGCGGGGAGAAATTTGCCTTCTCAGGCCTCGCTCTGGCCGCGGTGGGATTCGCACATCGCTGGAGCTCTCTGACCCACTTGGCCCTCCTGGTGCCATCCCCTGCAAGCTCATGGCTACGGGTTTAGGGTTTCGGGCTTAGGGTTTAGGGCTCTCGTAGGGCTTTGGGGTTTAGGGTTTAGGGATTAGGGTTCCGGGTTGAACGGTTAGAGATATGAGAGAAGGGTTTCCATCTCCAGAAATCTGGGGACCGCATTGCTTTCGGCTTGAGGTCTTTGGACTTCGCTTTGAAGATTCATCTGAGTTTAGGGTTTAGGGTTTAGGGTTTAGGGTTTATTTCGGGTTTAGGGTGTTCAGGGTGAAAAGGGTAAGTCTACATAGCCGTTTCTACTGAGTCCTCAAGAAGAAGCCCATCTTCAGGGAGCCCCTGTGGGCCTTTGGGAAAAGCCGCGGAAAGTTTCCTCTGTTATGGCAACCAGGGATCTCTAGTAAGAAAATCGGGTTTCCCCTCCATGGTAACTTAAATATGAAATTTACGGTTTGGGGTTAGGCTTTGGGTTTAGGGGTTAGGGTTTAGGGTTTAGGGTTTCATGGTAACTTAAACTTACATGGGCGGAACGGAGTCCCCAGCTTCGAGCTCCCGAGGCGCCCCTGGTGCTCACGGCGGTGCAACTTCTGCGCCCGGACTCCCCGGAAGCCCTGGCCCTGCGGCTGCAGCAGGACCCGACCGGAGCGATGGCGACGGGTGATTGGAGAGATGCTAATCTAGAAGCCTGAATAACTAGTTACCCATACTACTGTTAGGGTTCCTTATGATAAATATACTATAGGGGAGCCCAAAAAACTCTAATTATTTACAGTATCAAGACCCCCACATCAGCCATCGCTGACCCATGTTTACAGAGAAGTGCCCACAGGTCATCGGTGAGAGTGCAATCTGCAGGCCATCTCACTATCCTATGGCCCTTCCGCTCCCTTGCTTTCTTGTTTGCAGAGCTCTTGTTCAGGCCTGGCTTTGGTTGGGATTCCCCCGCCCCTCACCTGGCCCTGCGAAGAACCCATTTCAAGGAAGGCGAAGGATTTCGATCCTCCTTCTCCTGCACCTTACATTCTTGTCCAAAAAATAACGCCATCATGCTTTGCTCGTTTCATTTTCTCTTCTTTCCTTCTGCCTTTTTGTCTGCTGCGGCTTTAGATAAACATTGAACTCTCTAATTCTGCATTAAGCCATCGTATAAATCATCGTACACCCGGGTCTATGCCTACCACGGTATATAGTTCCAGCCGAAGCGAATGAGCTTGTCTCGGTGTTGCCAGGAGCTGGCGAAGCAGATCGAACCTTTGCGGCGCGGTGAGAGCGTGAGAGTCTGCGCGGAAGAAGTGCGGCTCCTGTGATCTAGAAACCTGAATAACTACCAACACGTGTTGTTAGGGTTCTTGATTTTGATTAGACTCTATATTTACCCAGAGCCGTATTCACGCCCTTATATTGGCCGAGAAGAACGGCCAAGGAGACATCCGGCCTTCTGCGGACCCGAGGCTCTGAGCATCAGAGCCGAAAACAGCCAGCCTCCTACTCTCACAGGAGCACAGCCGTGCACCTTCCGTGTAAAAGACGCACGATGAAAGATCAGGCGACGGCTTACGCGTTTGACCAAGTACCGTCGATCTTTCAACTTCTCTCAAACCTGTCTCGCTCCTCTTTTTGTGGCAAGCGTGGAAAGTTGAGGTGGGAGGCGTGCTGCCTTAATGCCGCAATCAGTGCACAAGCCCTAAACCCTAAACCTAAACTCCAAACCCTGGGTCTTTGGACCCAAGGCCCCAAGATGCCCCAAGGCCCCAAGGTTCTACCGAACTGAGGCCCCCTGCTGGGTTCCTGTTAAGGAATTTAGCTTAAGTTACCACAATGGAAGAACTAGAAAATAATATGGTTTCCTTATTATGGTAAATTAAGCTATAGATCCCTGAGCAAGAGCCCGGCCTTGGCCGTGTAAGCCCCAACTGATCCTAAGCGCAAGGCCGCCGACCGATGATGCCTCGAGGCTGAGTTTGGGGCTCAGGGTTTGGGGTTTGGGGAGTGAGGTTTAGGGTTTAGGGTTTAGGGTTCAGGATTTAGGGTTTGGGGTTTAGGGTTGCGGGTTTGGGGTTTAGGGTTTCGGGTTCGGGATGTAGGGTTTGGGGTTAGGGTTTCGGGTTCAGGATTTAGGGTTTGGGGTTTGGGGTTAGGGTTTCGGGTTCGGTTTGTGGTTTAGGGAGTAGGGTTTCGGGTTCAGGATTTAGGATTCGTGGTTTAGGGATTAGGGTTTCGGGTTTGGGGTTTGAGGTGTAGGGTTTGTGGTTTAGGGATTACTGTAGGGTTCGGGTTCAGGATTTAAGGTTTGGGGTTTAGGGTTTCGGGTTTGGGGTTTGAGGTTTAGGGTTTGTGATTTAGGGTTCAGGGTTTCGGAGTGTACGGAGGGAGCTTAATTAGGTGTTCAGGGTGTGCATAGAGTGTCACAAGGGTTTCTTGTGCTTCTCCGAGGCCTGTGGGCTCAGGCTCATGGCATCGGCAGTTTGTTCAGTCCTTCCTTCCATATCTCGCATCTCATGGCTCTCCGTGGCGTGCCTGGTCGTGGCCCTGGGCCCGAGCTTCGGCGTGCGCCCTGAGATCTTCGCAGAGCTCGCGGCGAGTGCCGGCGTTTCTTGCTTGCATCTCTCCCCTATGACTACTGTATGGCTGCCTCCCGCACTCTGCGCCTCCGAAGCTTTCACCTCGCGCGCCCCTGTGCCCTCTGCCAAAACCCCTCTGCCAGACCAAAAGCTCAGGACGCAAGACACCGCGCACACCAAGCGGGCGGATCGACGTCGGCCTTGGCCCCTTCTGCCCGAGGCTCAGGTCTGCGGATCATCGCAGGATTTCAGCAAGCTTCTGCCCGACTGCGGTGCTTCGGGGGTGGAGGATTCAGGGTCTGCGTTCAGTGAGTGTAGGGTAGGACAGTTAGGATCATGGTGTGTGGGGACCTGCATGTGGACCGAGGAGATCGAAATCCCGAAGTCCGAGCATCTGCACCTTCCCGTCGAGGCTCCAGCATTCCCCGAAATCCCAAACCCTGAACCCCAAACCCTAAAGGCCCCAAACCTCAAAGCCCAATCCCGGAGCTCCAAACCGGAATTCCTGCAGATCCTACAAGCCCTAACGCCCAAACCCCGAAACCTTCAAATCCTAAGCTGTAAAGCCCTGCGCTTGCCATTTTGCCAGCGGGGCCCAAAAACTGAAATACTGGACGGGCCCCTGCGGCGTGTTTTCGGCCACGGTACGACTAGATTATGCTACTGTGCTATTTCTGCTGTTTGCTTGGCGGCTCATACTGTACTTGGAGGTTTCACGGGTAGTTATAAGTGAAGGTATAAGTCCTTTAATCTGGGCTATAACTGTATAGTTATCCTACTTATCACCCTACTTATAACGACCCATGAACCCCCAAAGTACATGACCAGAAGAAGGAAAGCCACGAAAGAACCCCAGACCCACGATTCCTCAGGAGGAGCCCACTGCGCCGTCCAAGCCGCTACCAGCCGGGGGCCCGGGTACCTTTCGCCATGTGCAGCCCAGAGAGGGGGGGGGCTCAAGGGGGTTTAGGGTTGGGGGAGGTTGTGGGAGGTTTGGAGAGGTTTCGAGAGGTTTAGGGCTTAGGGTTTGGGGATTCTCTTTAGCCTTTGATTTATGGCAGATTCCTTCCTTGCCTATGGGGGTGGGGCGCTGGGAGCTCAGGGTGCCATGTGAGCAGCTCTCTAAATTAGGGTCCCTTTTCGGGTCCTTTTATAAGGGTGCCGTACTATATTGGGGACCTATAAAGGAATCCTTATTTAGAGAACTAGCTATGTTGTTTCAAGGGAGTCTACCTGGGGCCGGAGAAGCAACGGGATTTCGAGCCCAAAGGCACGAGTGAGAAGTTGCCAGCTCCCAAATGTTTTATAGTATTGCTGCAGTCTTATTATTGTGCCATTCTTGTCTTGTTATTGTCATTGTGGTAGTTAGTATTAATTAGCATCTGGCTTTTCCGAATGAGAGTGGCCTGAACAGAACCGGCATGTTGAAGCCCTCGTAGTTGCCAAAGCTGAGCTTTCGTCGACATTTACTGTGAAGTGTCGGAGCAGGAAGGAAGAACGGACCCACTATACCAGGCCCACCTCAGTGTCAGCCTGTTTCCCATAGCTTGGCTACTTGTTTCACTTTAGTCCATCTGTAAGCCCAGAGTTTGCTGCAGATCTGACCCGACATAGATTCTACGGGCTCAGGTCAGACCTACTGCTACAGCGTAGAAGTGCAAGGCTTCAGAGTCAAGAGAGTTTTCAACTCCGCCGCCCCTGGCACCTTGGAGGCCAGAGCCAGCAGCGTGGCTGAGACGGAGACCACGGACTCCCCGAACTGTGCCTGGCTCTGCAGAAGCAGCTCTCTGTTTTGAAGGGTGTGCTGTGGTAGGAGGCTTTCGACACTGAGCCGAGGCACTGGAGACCTTGAGGCCCTCAGGAAGCTGCAGATCGGCGGAGAGGGCGACTTCTGCGACTGGCCCGGCATCCGCTGTGATGACCAGGGCTGCGTCGTGGAGCTAACTCGCCACGATGCGCGGGGCTTCTTTTCTGCCGTGGCATCCCTGCGGCAGCTTCAACGCCTCGACCTCTCCAACTCAAGGGTCTCTGGGGACGTCGCGGCCCTGACCGGGCTTGAACAACTCCATCACCTCGATCTCTCCCAAGGACTCTCCCACGCACGGGTCTACGGGGCCGTCGATACTCTGCGCGACCTCCAACAACTCCATCACCTCGATCTCTCCCACACATCAGACGTCTACGGGAAAGCCGAGGCCCTGCACGTCCTCCGACAACTCCATCACCTCGATCTCTCCCATACACACGTCCGGGGGAACCTCGAGGTTTCCGACCTGCCGCTCAAGCATCTTGACCTCTCAAAGACGAAAGTCAGTGGCAGCTTGGAGAACTTGGAGAACATCACTGGGCTGGAGGTCCTGAATCTGGCGAAATGCAACATCAGTGGCCAGTTTGCGAGCCTGTCCAGGCTCGGGAGCCTGAGGACGTTGGACGTCACTGACACAAACATACACGGAAGCCTCGAGGACCTGAGACAGTCCACGAGCCTGCAGCACCTGATCGGCCCTCGTCTCCAGCTCTCCGGCGACCTCGGGGCCTTGAGCGGTGCGACGGATCTCGAGATCCTCGACTTGAAACGCAGCCAGGTCACGGGGAATCTGGATGCCTTGCAAGGAATGAGACGCCTCCGGAAGGTGGACCTGCGCGAGACCCACGTCTCCGGCAGCCTCAACTTCCTGGAGGGCAAGGAGAAGATGGAGTTCCTGAATTTGGCACGCACGCAGGTCGGGGGCGAGCTCGGCCCCTTGCGAGGCCACGCTGCGCTCCACACGGTGGACTTGCACCGAAGCCAAATCGCTGGGGAGCTCGCGCCCCTGAAGAACTTCCAAGAGCTCCAACGATTAGACCTCGCCGAAACCGACGTCTCTGGAAGCCTGGAGCCCCTGGCAAACCTGACTCGCTTGCAGCGGCTGTGGCTGCATAAGACGAGGATGTCGGGCCCCCTGGCTCCTGTGCAAAGCCTTACCGAGCTTCAGGAGCTGGATCTCCACGACACGACCGTTTCTGGAGACTTGGTGGCTGTCCGGCATCTCCGCCAACTCCAGCACTTGTACCTCAGCAAGACCGCGATCTCCGGCGACCTCGCTGCGGCGCGGGAGCTCACAGAGCTCAGAAAGCTGGGGCTGGGCGGGGTGAAGAACATTCACGGCCGGCTGGAAAGCCTGCAGAATCTTACGAGGATGACGCATCTGGTGCTGTCTCAGACTCAAGTCTCTGGCAACGTCAGCGCTGTAAGAGTCCTACCGTAATTGGAAAGGTTTACCTTTTTTTGGCTACAGTACTCAGCCCCTAAGGAGAGGTCTGGCCGCCCTGGATCTCCAGGAGACGGGAGTCTGGGGCAACCTCGAGGTCTTTCTCTCGATGCTCGATCTCCATGTCCTCAACCTCCGCCAGACTGCAGTCTCGGGCACTGTGGCTGATCCTGGGTTCTTGTTAAGGAGCTCAGTTTTAAGTCACCATAAATATAGGGATCTATAGTACATATTATGGTTTCCTTATTATGGTAACTTAAACTAGATCCCTGGACAAGAGCCCCAGTATGGTAACTTCACTTAAGTTCCTCAACAAGAACCCAGGATCTTGGAGGAGGGGGGTGGCTTGCACACTTGGACCTGAGCGCCACCGCCGTCGGCGGCGAGCTGGCAGATATCGCAGGGCTCACAGACCTCAAAACGGCGCTTTTGTCCGGGACCCGGGTGAGCGGGCTGCTTTCCGACTTGCAGAGCTGCTGCACAGACCTGCGGGAGCTGGATCTCGCCGTGCGGCGCTCAGTGGCTTTGTAGCTGCATCTTCATGCTCGAGCCTTTGGGGGATCTCGTTCTCAGGAGAGCCAAGTGGGCGGCCTACGGCCTCTGGGAGAGGAGCAGCCGCCCCGGCTGCTGCCCGCACTTGAGCGCCTGAACGCCTGCAGCTCAGTCTCCCTCGCAGGTGCCCCCGACTCGTGGCTTACCCGTTCGGATTCCACACATGAGTTCTATTTTGTTGAGGTGAGCGGCTGCCCGCTGAACGGCACTGCCACAGAGCTCTTGGTTCCCCTAGCGGGGACACCGCTGAAGAGCCTGGCGGCCGCCCGCAGCGGCCTACGCGGTGAGCTGCCAAACCAAACCGATGGCGGGGTCGTCAGCCGCTTGGAGAGGAGCCTGGAATACCTGGACCTGGCAGGAAATCAGCTGAGTGCCATTCCCCACCTTGGCGCAAGCATAACGTATTTGGATCTCAGCAGCAATGCCGGCGCGATGAAACTTGGCCACGGCGTGCTGACCCAGGCTCCTCCCAACTCTCTTTATCATTCGTTGGGATGCCTTGACAGGTCTCATATTGCTTGGATTGTACGCAAAATCTAGCTATCGCAGTCTGCAGGTCGTGCTGAACCACACAGAGGTGCACATGGAGGGCACGCGCCTGCAGAACCCGGAGGTGGTCCAAGAGGAGGCGCGGCGTCTCAAGGACAAGCTGCCCTTGCAGGACTCCAGGCGCCCCTGCTCAGAAGAGGGCTAAGGCCTACTCCCATGACCGTATTGGGTTTGGGGTTGAGGGTGCAAGTGTAGAGTTCAAGTTCCTGGACTCGTGGTCTCTTTGCACTGGACGCCCTAATCTCCAAACCTATATAAACTCGATACTTGTTGTGAGCCCACCAGGCGAACCCTGCATGCGGAGGGCTACGCCTGCGCTCACTTCGCGCTCCCCGCGCTGCGCGTCACCCCGGAGCTCTTCTTGCCCCAGTACCTTGGGGACCAAATGACAGGGTTTAGGGTTAGGGTTTAGGGTTTAGGGATACGCTTATACTATGATACCCTAAGCCTGATACCCTAAGCCCTTCATAGTATGTGAACTATAACAACTCTTAGAGGAACCCGTAAAGACACCCTTACAAGGGACCCACTTTTAGGGTTCCGTTTGGGCTCAAGGTACATGTGCAAGTGCCGGCCCGGCCACTTCGGAAAGGGTGCCACCTGCCAGGCACGCGAATCTGCGAAATATGGCGGCCTTAATGATAGAACAGGGTTTCGCGGGTATTTGTATACTATAAGAACCCTATAAGGACTGTAAGGGGATATTCCTCTCATTGTTTCTTATCGGGACGTGTATGTGGGAGAGGCTTGCCCTGCCGACACCTTCGCAGATGACGAGGACCAGGCGCAGTGTGAGAAGTGCCCAGCCAACAGCACCTCGGCCAATGGCTCTGCGGCTCTGAATGCCTGCGATTGCAGCTATGGCAAGCCTCGGGGCGAGAAGGGCAACCGGAGTTGCCAATGTGAGGCGCCTGGGCTCTTGTCAAGGGACTCAAATTGAAGCTACCACGATAGGGATCTACAGCAAATAATCGGGCTTCCTGATTAAGTTCCTTAACCAGAATCACAAGCGCACACGGCGCAGCTTGGTGGCCTCTGTGCGCCATGCAGCAAACTCCACATCGACTGTCCTGAGCCCGGCAGCATCGCAGCACATGCTCCGGTGGAAGAAGGCTACGCCCGCATCTCCGGCTCCCTTCAGGTGGGATGCCAGTTAGGATCCAGGATCCTAACCCTAAACCCTAAACCCCAAACCCCAAACCCCAAAACTCTAAATCCTTATGAGCCCTACATGACCCAAACCATGTCGGTGCGCGCAGGTCTTCCGCTGCTTAGAGGCAGAGCGTTGCACACCCTTCACGGATTCGGGCTGCGCAGCTGGATCCTTGTCTTCGGCTCTTGGTTCAGGGTTTAGGATGCTCCTAATGTCTCCTAACATCTTATCTTGCATGTCGAGATTCAATTTGCGGATCATTACGAATGATCAGGTTCCTGGAGAGTTGTGGCAGCCATGTGTGGGCTGAAGGTGTCGGGAGCGTGCTTGTCATGTACTTTAGTCACATGACCCCGACTGCCCACCTGTTGCATGCCTTCGGAAAGTCATGTCTCAAGGATACTCCGGCCCTCTGTGTGTGGAGTGCGCTCCTAACTACCACTCCCTCAACTTCGGCAAGCAGTGCGACGAATGCCAGAGCCTGCGCCAGCACCTCGAGGATCAAATAGGGCACCGCAGTTACTGGTACTAGAGACTAAGGGGAGTTTTGAATTTGGCGTTTGTTATTACTTGAGGATGGTAAAATTAGTTGCAGGTCGTCCTCATTTTATATCGGGCATTCCTTCCGATTCTCGCGAGGCAGTCGGTGGTCTTGGTCTTCGTGGTCTCCCTGGGAACTCTGGCGCTGATGGGCGCCGTCGTCGCCGCAGGCTGCCTCCTGAGGCGCTTGGTAGCCAGGCTTCAAAAAGCCTTCAGGCATTTGTAAAAGCATACAAAGCTCCAGCAGCCCTTAAAACCCTTATGCAGAGTAAACGTCCCCAAACCTCAACAGGCCAAAAAACGAAAGCCAGGAGCTACATCCCAAAGCCTGGCCTGGGAATGGAGTGCGCGGCGCAGCTCCTGGTGTCTCAAGGGGCGGTGTTGCTGCAGCTTGCGCAGCTCTGGGCTCTGCTGGCGCGCCTCGGAAATCTGGGTCAATGTCCCTGTCTCGCTCTTACACGTCTGTACATACTGTATGTATAAAAGAAGTCTTGTGAAAGTTGCAGTGTGGGGGCACAGCTCTGGGTTCGCTGTCGCCATCCTCTTGCACTGAGCTTGTTACCTAGGCGCCTGACGAGCGCCAGGGAGGCACAAAAAGCGCCTGGGTTGCACTTGAAGCCCGGAGCTGCAGCTCCAAACGAGGGTTGCTTCAGGCAACATTTAGTGTTGAAGGGTTTTGGGGTTAAGGGTTTGTTGCGAACTCCGTTGCGATTTTTCGGTGTGGCGCTGTTGGAGCTGAGGTGTTGCAGGAAGTGGTCGCGTACAATGTCACAGATGACGTCCCCGCCCCTGAGGAGTTGAACACCGATCGCGGCTCGGCCTGGCAAGCCGAACCTTTTTGTGCAGGGCATTGCTACGCCTGATGCTGCGAAGATGTGAGCCGAGGGGACCCACTGTTCTCCTACATCGAAATCCTACAGTTCACGGGCTCGGAGTTGCAAAGCTTCCTGGACTTCCAGTGCCGCTACGACGGTGCGACGGTCCGCGGCGTCTTCGCCCTTGCCACGCCCCTCCTTCCCTTGCTGGTCCTGGTTGCATGCGCCTGTGTTCTTGTTAGGGAACTTACTCCTTAAGGTACCATGATATAGGGACCTATAGTAGATAAGCGCGTTTCGTTATGGCAACTTGAATTACACGCCTCATCAAGAGCCCAGGCGCCTGCCTAGAGCTTCGGAACCTTGGCATGGGATCCTTGTCTGCACCAGAGACATGCTGCAAAAAAAGCCGCAACGGTGCTAGCCGCTTTTCCCCCCAACCCAATAGCATGGAGGTCTCGTTGAGGAAAGTCCTCCCCAAACAGTTCTTGTAAACTACACAACATCATGGCCCGATGATCTCTCTGCCACAAACTCTACCTTAAGAAAAGTATTCGGGCCTGTTTTAGTCATACTTTCGAGGCATCCAGCTGGCCCTCCGCGCCTTGACGGTCCTCTTCGTGGGAGGCGCCTCCGGCGCGGTGAAGCTGCTGGGCTGCCAGCGCGCCGACGGCGAAGGCGGGGTCTTTGGCGTGGAGGGTCAAAAGTGTCCAGGGTCTGACTTAGGGTCTCTGATGTGTAAGGTTTTAGTGTAGGTTTTTGTGCCCTAACCCTCAATCACTATGTAAACCCTAAACCCTAAACGGCTAAAGCCGACGAGGCACCTGGATACCAGACGACCTGGCCTTCCGGCCGCTTTTCCCGTGGCTCCGGTGCTCGAAGGAGACCGCCGCAGCCGCCTGGGTGGGGGTGCCCAGTGCTGGATCAGGGTTCTTTCGGTTTAGGGTCTAGGGGATTTACTTTTGAAATATTTTTTTGGTTTGGGGTTTAGGGGACGAGCCCCTATTCAACGTTTGTTTGGGAAGCCCTTGACGTGAACTTCGAGCTCCTGTGTGTTTGTACTACAAGCAATATCTAGGCTTCCTTGTCAGAGGTGGACCGAATCGGCTGGAGCACTGCCGCCGTCTATGGCGTTGCGGTGCCCTGTTTCCTCGCCTTCCTCTTCTTCAGGCAGCACCGCACCATGCGGCCGCTCAGATCTGTTTAGGCCTTAGGGGCAAAGTTTAGGGGTGCCTCCTAACAGCTACACACACACACAGACTTCTCAGTGTGCAGTGGACTTGACAAAGGCAGTGCAAGACCTTCTTTGTCGTCAGTGCCAACCAGGAGAACGGCAGCGTCCAGCTGGAGCTCACTGCATGCGCAAAGTCGGAGCATTTCGAGGACCAAGAACAGAAGGGATCATGTGCATACTTGTTGCATCTTGTTGTTTAGGGTTTCTGGTTAAGTTTAGGGTTGCGAAACAAGTTACTTGCATAGGAACTTCCTGTCTTCTTCCCGTCGCTTGTTTACAGTTTGACATGCCGATGAAGCGAACTGACATGTCTGCTCTCACTCTAAACCGTAGGCCCTACCTCTCACTACGTGGATCACTACTCCACAGGCCCGCATCGCTTCAACCTGATTGTGCTCTGTCTGCAAAGCACTCTCACAGCAGTCATGTGAGCATATGAGCAAACCTAGCCGGTATGCGAGAATGTCTCATCACCGAACCCGAAACCCCGAAACCCGGAAACTCCCCGCACACTAGACCCCTAAATCCTTAAACCCCCAGGCCCCAACCCCTCAAGCAGCCTTCAGCCCTCTAAACCGAAACCCCAAAACCCCAAAACCCAAAACCCCTAAACTCTAAACCCTCAAGAAAGAAGTAACTAGAAATTGCTTGTTGCTGTTGGCCATCCGAAAGCTCACGTTTTCGTTCGGGACACAACCTTTGCATCTTCTGATTCAGGGTTGCCCATCCAGCCCCACCCCAGCCAGCCCCGCCCACCCCAGCCAGCCTACCAGCCTCCAGCCCCCAGCCCAGCCCGCAGCCCCCAGCCCCCAGCCCCCAGCAAACAGCCCCAAGCCAGCCCCCAGCCCAGCCCAGCCAGCCGCCCAGCTTGAAAAGAGAGTTCCAAAAAAAAAAAAAGCTTTCCCTAACCTAAACAAAAAAACATGGAGTGCAATAGGTTTGAGTGGTTTGGCCGCCTCAGACGGCTCCAGCCGCGAATCGTCATGCTACGATGCACTCGAGATTGCACTGTCGCTAGGTACTTCCGCTTCTGCGGCGCAAAATTGCGTTGCGGCAAACCCTAAACCCTAAACCCCAAAACTTAATCCCTAAACCCGTGAACTCCTAAACTCCTAAACCCTAAAAACCCCCAAACCCTAAACATTAAACCGGTATCCCTAAACCCCTAAGCAGGAGGAGCTCCTGGCAAGGCGCCTACTGGGGGCTGCAGCGGCCCACCTGGCGGTGCAGAGGCCAGGAGAAGTTTTGGTGGAGCTCCACCAAAACGCGGTGACGCTCGGCAGTTTAGGTTTCACAGAAGCTGACATTTTATGGTTCTCGGGTTTAGGGTTTAGGGCTTTAGGGTTTTGCCTCGGCAGCGAAGTCTGTTGTGAAACCCAGGATTGTGACAGGGCAAAATGGCATCAGTCACGAAGAGAAGAGCAGCGGCTTTTCTTCCATCTCGGTGGCTTGATCGCAATTTCTCTTCTGTGTTATTGTACATTTGCTCTCTTCTAATGCAGTGTAGCTGGCTCTCTTCTAATGCAGAGAGGCCTGCCAGCACTGCATTGCAACTGCTCGGTCTAGCAGGCCGAGAGCTTCATGGAGAGCGACATGAAAGACACCGTGCTAGCACGGAACTACATGATGCAGATGCTTACGGAGCGCAGCATCTTAGAGGAGATCCAATCAGACAGCTTCCTGGTAGCAGCTTTTGTCCACTTTTGAGTCATGCCGGGGGCATAGCATGGCTGTCGAGCTGTCATGCATCGAAGGAATGCTGATCGGGGCGAAGCAACTTCTTTGCAAGTACGCCGCTCCCTTGCACTTAGCCGCTTTGGCGTTACGCCGCCTTACCGAGTCCCAAGGAAACCCCAAATCCGAAGGTCTCCAAACCAACTCAGGCCATGAAGCCCGAAAGCCTGAAAGACCTAAGCCTTGAGCCCTTAACAGTTTGAGCCAGGTAGACCATGTACAGCTGGAGCCTTCAATCCTACCTAAATCTGCTGGAGCACAACGTTTTTGGTAGGGTCCGAAGACAAACCCCAGGATAGAACTTATGGAAACCTTACAAAGACTCAAGCTCTGACAGGTTAATGCAAACCTTAAGGGGACCCTTTGAGGAACCCTTCAAAAAGAACCCTTGAAGGAACTTTGTAACTACAGGGAACCGAACACCTCCAGCTCTTGAGCTTTGAGGCCTATTGCGGCGGAGTGTGGATGGAAGTCGCTCTGAAACTGAGCTCCGCCTGCCTCGTTTCCGTGGCTCACCTGAAACCATACAAAACAGAAGGGTTTGTGGGTTAGAGCGTAGGACGTAGGACTTAAGGTTTAGGGTGCAAGGTTGAGCCCTCAACCCTAAACCCTAAAGCGTGCACCGTGGAGTGAGGTCGTCTCTTCGAGGGATGGCCTGTGGCTGTCCGTGGCAATCACCTTCGGCATCTGGGCTCTTCTTGAGGAACTTACTTTAAGTTACCATAATGGGGATCTACAGTAGATAAAATGATTTTCTTACAATGGTAACAAAGTTTGTGTTCGGCAACAAGCACCCAGGCATGGCTGTGATCATCGGCAGCGTGCGGCCCTTTGCTCAGCCCCAGGCGGGAAGGGAAGGTTGAGATTCCAGGGGGATAGAAATGGATGTATACCTAAACCTCCCTACACCTTGTAGCATCCCTCGTAGTAACCCGTATACTCACCCTCACAGCAGCCTGACAGCAGCGCTGCAGGTGAATGCTCTGCAGAGCTTCAGCTTTTGTTGTGCCTCGGCCGACCCTCGGGAAGGACCGAAGCTTGAACGGAGAGGGTGTAGGGCTTGGGGTTTAGGGTTTTGAGGGCTTCGGATGTGGGGCTTACGGTTTAGAAGGTCGAAGGTCCATGAGACGCAGAGCCCCCGCGGGTGTTTCATCGCAGAGCCAAGTCTCTGAAACCCTGAAGCACAGAATCCGACGGGGCTGATGCTTGTCGGTGCCAGTCAGTAGAATTCCGTGGTAGCGAGTGCATGGAATACAGAGGGCCTACATAACTCCCATAGGGTGGTGGAGTTTATTATATAATGTAACAAAAATAGTATATAATACTAAAAATATAATACACTATAGTATATAATTGTATATTATATGGCTTCTAATCGAGGGAGTGGATGGGGCTTTTGCGCGGAAGAGGGAGCTCCCCACACCCTAAGCCCTAAGCCTTACCCTCACCTCGCAAGTACCCTTTCATAGAGGCCTCATGGTCCTTGAATTGTGGGTGCCTTTAGGCTCGACTACGGGGCAGTTGGACCCCAAACCCCAGACCCTAAACCTGCAACCTTCTAACTTCAAAAAAACCCCAAAACCCCAAACCCCGAAACGCCCCCCCACCGAAATCCCCAAACCCTAAACCCCTAAACCGCTTACCCCCCAAACCCTAAACCCCCAAACCCCTAAACCCCTAAACCCTAAGCCCCCAAACCCTCAACCCCGAAACTTCAGCTGTCCCGAAGAGAACTTTGTCTCAGGCCTCGCTCTGGCCGCGGTGGGATTCGCACATCGCTGGAGCTCTCTGACCCACTTGGCCCTCCTGGTGCCATCCCCTGCAAGCTTACGGTTTCGGGTTTAGGGTTTAGGGCTTAGGGTTTTGGGCTTAGGCTAGGGATTAGGGCTCAGGGTTTAGGGTTTAGGGCTTAGGGCTTTGGTCTCTCGTAGGGCTCTGGGGGTTTAGGGTTTTTTTGATCAGGGTTCCGGGTTTAGGTTTAACAGTTGCAGATAAGGGTTTCCATCCCCAGAAAGCTGGGGCCGCATTGCTTTCGGGTTTGGTGGTAGCTGCTGTAGAGGTCTTTGGACTGCGCTTTGAAGATTCATCTGAGTTTAGGGTTTAGGGTTTAGGGTTCATTCAGGGTTTGGGGTGAAGAGGGTGAAAGGGTAAGTCTACATAGCCGTTTCTACGGAGTCCTCAAGAAGCCCATCTTCAGGGAGCCCCTGTGGGCCGTGGGCCTTTGGGACAAGCCACAGAAAGCAGGATTTCGTTAACCATAATAGGGATCTATGGTAAATGATGTGGTTTCCTGTGTTATGGCAACCAGGGATCTCTAGTAAAATTTAGGGTTTAGGGTTTAGGGTTTCATGGTAACTTAAACTTACATCGGCGGAACGGAGTCCCCAGCTTCGAGCTCCCGAGGCGCCCCTGGTGCTCACGGCGGTGCAACTCCTGCGCCCGGACTCCCCGGAAGCCCTGGCCCTGCGGCTGCAGCAGGACCCGACCGGAGCGATGGCGGCGGGTCATTGGAGAGATGCTAATCTAGAAGCCTGAATGACTAGTTACACATACTACTGTTAGGGTTCCTTATGATAAATATACTATAGGGGAGCCCCAAAAACGCTCATTATTTACAGTATCAAGACCCCCACATCAGCCATCGCTGACCCATGTTTAGAGAGAAGTGCCCACAGGTCATCGGTGTGAGTGCGATCTGCAGGCCATCTCACTCTCCTACAGCCCTTCCGCTCCTTTGCTTTCTTGTTTGCGGAGCTCTTGTTCAGGCCTGGCTTTTGCTGGGATTCGCCCACCCCTCACCTGGCCCTGCGAAGAACCCATTTCAAGCAAGGTGAGGGATTTCGATCCTCCCTCTCCTGCACCTTACATCCTTGTCTAGACGAGAACGCCATCATGCTTTGCTCGTTTTCTCTTCTTTCCTTCTGCCTTTTTGTTTGCTGCGGCTTTAGATAAACATCGAACTCCAAAATTCTGCAGTAAACCATCGTGTGAATCATCGTACACCCGGGTCTATGTCTACCACGGTGTAGAGTTCCAGCGGAAGCGAATGCGCTTGTCTCTGCCCAGAGAACCCAATATACCTTAATTAAGGAATATACCTTAAATTATAGGGGCCTTAATATGATGATTTATGGTATATTCCTTGATTAAGGGGTATTGGGTTCTCTGAGTGTGTTGCCAGGAGCTGGCGAAGCAGATCGAACCTTTGCGGCGCGGTGAGAGTGTGAGAGTCCGCGCGGAAGAAGTGCGGCTCTTGTGATCTAGAAGCCTGAATCATTACCAACACTTGTTGTTAGGGCTCTTTAATTTTGATTAGACTCTATATTTCCCCAGAGCCGCATTCATGCCCATATATTGGCCGAGAGAAAAGGCCAAGGAGATATCCGGCCTTCTGCGGAGCAGAGGCTCTGAGCATCAGAGAGCCGAAAACAGCCAGCCAGCCTCCTACTGTGGCAGGAGCAAAGCCGTGCACCTCCGATGCAAAAGACGCAAGATGAAAGATCATGCGCTTGACCAAGGTGCCGTCGGTCCTTCAACTTCTCTCAAAACCTGTTTCGGTCCTCTTTTTGCGGCAAGTGTGGAAACTTGAGGTGGGAGGCGTACTGCCTTCAGGCCACTGTCAGTGCATGTCCAAACTTTCAGTCCCGCTGGGCTTCTCAGTATCGCTCTAGAGCTCTAGGTTTGGCTCAGTGCAATCGCAGACTCTGTCCGAACTCGACTCCGTCCGAACTTGTCGCCCGTGCTGCGCTTTCTCAAGCTGTGCCTGAACCATTGTAGTGCCCGGTCTTGTCGTCGTAGCGGCAGTGGGGGTACTTGGAGGGACAGTGGAAAATGGTTTGTCCGTTGTCTTTCTGCACAGCTTCTTTGCCTAAGCATTCTCAAGGTAACCGTTGCAGCCCCTACAGTCACCTTGAAGTAACCCTTCAAAGTAACCGTGAAAGTAACACTTGCAAGTAAACCCTTAAAAGCAGCCTTTACAAGTAGCCCTTACAAGAACCCTTCTAAATCCTAAGCCCTAAACCCAAAACCCTTAGCCCTACACCCTCAGCCCTAAACCTTAAGCCCTAATCCCTAAACCTTAAACACTTAGCCCTAAGCCCTAAATCCTTACAAGTAGCTTTTAAGGATCCTTTCGGCAGGTCTCGGCGTCGAGCCCTTTTGCCGAGACGCGCGCTTGGCGCACTCGAGCGCGCCAAAAATACCCGCATGTTGGCAGTGCTTGCTAGGGTTTGGGGTTTTGGAGTGTAGGGCTTTTGTTGGGGGTGCAGGGCTTTTCACGGTTCAGGTGAATTAGTGGTTTGGGACTTCAAAGGGTGTTTGTTCTGCACACGTGGGGCGTTTGCCGGGCGCATGCCTAGTTGTAGGCTAGGCTTTGCGACTCCGGATGCTTGTCGTTGTTTCTGTTTTTCAGTTGGGCTCATGGACAGATATGGCACGACCCTGAAGCCAGTGTCAGCAGTAGACTGCATCGTCTTGCAAAATAGAGGCCGATACGATTTCTGTGTTCGCTGGCACAGATGTGCTGGCATGTGCTTAGGAGCACAAGGCAATTGGGATTGAGGTACATATTGATGAGGCTAAGCACTCAACTGCGCCGAATCTTTGAAGGGGAAACCCTAAACCCTAAGCCCGGAACCTCACCTAAACCCTAAACCCGAAATCCTTAGCCCTGAACCTCACCCAAACCCTAGCCCCTAAACCCTAACTGCTAAGCCCTGAACCTCAAGCTTCATGGGATGCGGAACTTCTGCATCTCCTGCGGCCTTCGCGCTGTGCCGGGGCGCAGGCGGCTCCCCAGGGATTAAGTCGTTGCTGACATCTTTCTCGGGTTTAGAGTTGTAATCATACAATCTACTATAGTATGGTATCGTGTGTTCTGGTGAGTGATACTATACAGTATATAATGATATATTTTAAAGGATTGTATATTGTCGTAAACGGTCGTATACTTAGCATATTAGTGCATTTCTCTTCTATCATGCATTGGGACATTGGAGCATTGGCTTCTGCTTCGTCATGTAGAGCCACAGTTGTCATGGCTGTTGCCTTGAATCCTAAAAACTTAAACCCGAAATACTAAACCCTAAACGCAAACCCCAAAGGCCCTAAAGCAGCCGAACAAATGCCTAAACCCCAAACCTTTAGATCTTCGATTTCACGGGCCGGACCTGACTCGTCTTCGCTTAGGGTCATATAGGGGCCTAAATAATTACAAACACTTCTTTGGGGATCCCTGATTATCCCTTGTTAAAGTTATAGTAGAATATAACCCAAAACCCTATTCCAATTGCTAAGGCCCCTATATTACTCCAAACAGGGGCTTTCAAGACCGTCGGGCTCACGATTTCCTGCCACTGTTCGTTAACGAATCAAAAAAGCCGCAACAGCCTTTTAAACACCTTGCCGAATCCATATGGGATCCTTGTAACATCCTATAGAAAACCCTTGCAAGGCCCAAGAAGCTAGAGAAAAAGCCTCCTTCTTGGCGTTTGAGTGTAGAACTGGATAGACCGACTAGAAGCGCGAGAGAAGAACAAGCGTCGTTGTAACTACCAAGAAGAGATTGCCCTGTACCAGATACATAGCTGTGAAAACAACGCCATACACAAACAAGATCAGATCAGAGGAGTCCTGTAGGGTTTAGGGTTTAGGGTTTAGGGAGGTCACGAATTACCGGAGCATAGTGCATGGGACAGCCGCAGCTTGGCCCGATCTTAGTTGCGTAGAAGACTAGGCGCGAATTCTAAACAGAAAACTTTCATTTATAGTTCTTCACCAGTGAATGCAGCGTTTAGGACTTCGGATCAGGCATCCGTTTAGGAGCAGCCCTGTAGCTTCGTAAGAAGCATAGCTCTGCGCTTGGGATGCCATGTTAAATCACATTGGAGTTTCAGACACAAAGGACCCCACTATCGACCCGACGCAACTAGACCCAAACCCTAAACCCTAGTGGCCGTAACATGGAGGAATCTCGGCAACCATGCGGCTGAGCCTGCTTCCCCTCTTGAGCCATGCCTGGTACGGCTGGCGGGAAGATGAAACGGGCATTTACGCAGAGGTGCAGGTTGCATCCGCGCCGTTCAAGTCGAACTTTGCGCACCTGAAAGACGGCAAGCCAAGGAGAATCTGGATAGAAGTTGGAGCACACGTGGAGGAGACTCTGCAAAAGTCGCGTGCGTTTGGCCAGTCGGGGAACGATTTCCTCATATCTTTCGAGCCCCTGCTGGACAAATATGCCATGCTGTTGAGTGAGTACAAGGCAGATGTTACTCAACGGCGACCGCTGGGATTTCAACACCAGCGAGGTCTTGTTTTCCCCTTTGCTGTTGGCTGTGACGATCGCTACACACCCTTCACGGTGACAAACTTTGACATGTGCAGCACTGTGCTGTCGCCGACAGATGACACGTACGGTTACTGGCCTCCGGACTGTTCCACTGCAGTTGAGAAGCGCATGGTCCCGTGCATTACACTTCGGCATGTGATTGAGTCCTGGCTTTCAGGACAAGAGGTCTTCTACTTGAAAATAGACGCTCAAGGCTTTGACCTGAATGTTGTGCAATCCGCAGGTACTATGCTGCGCAAAGTGGAGCACATTGAGCTGGAAGCAGCCTGTGACGGTTCTCAGCGGCTGTACCCGCAGGCACCTAACTGCTCCAGTGTTTGGAACTTTATGAACCGTGCTGGGTACCGATGTGTTCAGATGCATGACATTGAGCACCCGACACTGGGTGTAGCATGTGACCGAAATAGGGGTCGAATCTGGTGTCAGGCATGCAAGAGAGAAGTCAACATGTTCTTCACTCGACTCACGAAACCTTTCAAGTTTTGGAAAGCCGATACGTTTTGAAACCCCTTCGTGGCAGAGAAAGCCTCGAAGGGGTTGAGATCAAGATGAATGGCATTCGCTTGATCTCGGCCCTCACGGGTTATGACCGCCATTGCAGCTACAATCCGAGTCTGCCCATCTTCCCTAAACCCTCAAGCCGTAAACCCCAATCCCCTAAACCCTAAGCCCTCATCGCCTGGACGCCTAAACTCCAAAACTGAAGCCCCTATACCCTAAACCCTAATCCCCAAACCCTAAACCCTAAACCCTAATCCCTAAACCCTAAGCCCTAAACTGAAAGCACGAGGAGAACCCCAGATCTGAAACTGCTTCGAGCCCTCATCTCCCTTTCCTCCCTAGCCCCTCAATTGGGATCCCTTTTTCGGGCTCCTTAACGGGATCTGTAAGGGTTTCTATAAGGTTTCTATAAGGGTACAAGGGTTCTATATGCTCTAAATTAGGGTCCTGTTTATAAGGGCGCCATCTGATTGAGGGGACCTGCAAAGGGGCCTAAAGTTAGAGAACTACCCAGATTCTGAACCTCAAGCCGTCTAAGGTTTTAGTGTTTAGGATTTAGGGTGGGGGTTTGGAGCTTAAGCACCACAGCATACCTTTCTGTGAGGTTGAGGGTTGAGGGTTAAGGGTGTAGGGTCAAAGGTTTAGAGTGAAGGGTTTAGGGTTTTACGCCTTCGCTTTAGGGTTGAGGGTTTAGGGTTAAGGGTTCAGTTTGGAAGCGCATTCCTTAAGCTTCTTTGACCACAACTACATTATAATAGACGCAAGGCCCTATTCTAATTTGTTGAGGCCCCTGTATTGGATTCCCCAAAACCTAAACCCTAAATCCTGTATTGGATTCTAAAACTACGTTGGGGGCTTTAAGGTGCCCAGTTTAGGGGCCCGTGCAACAAGGACCCTAACATTCTACTAGTTTTCGGAGTATTTAGGGTCTATCCTCGAATATCTCGAATTTCTAGTCCTGAATAAATCCTAAGCCCTAAACCTCGAGCTTTCATCTTGAAACCGGCAAGACTGACAAACACGAGATGACAGCAACAATCACAACAAGGGTGGTATTGAAGACACTAGTGATCAGGTGATGGTGCTGGTGGTGGTGGCGGTGGTAGTAGTAGTAGTAGTCGTCGTCGTCGTCGTCGTCGTCGTCGTCGTGGTAAGTCGTACAGGTAGTAGCCGTAGGTAGTAGTGCTAGGTAGTAGTGGTTGCAGTGGTAGTAGTGGTAGTACTGGTAGTAGTGGTTGTAGTGGTAGTAATAGTTGTAGTCGCCGAGCGAAGATTTTGATGTAGCACGCCCGAGCAGCTTGGGTTAGGGCTTAGGGCTTAGAGGTTCAGAGGTTTAGAGGTTTAGGGTTTGGGGTTTAGGGTTCAGGGTCTAGGGCTTGGGGCCTACGGTTTTTCGGGGGTTTAGGGGTTTTCGTCGCAGAGAAGTCGCAACGCGCTACAAGTTGACCGGCTCGGGCCTGGGGTGGTGCGGTGGCTTTTTGGTTCTGTCGGCAAAAAGCAGGTGTGTTCTAAGCCTGAGCTAAGCCTATGAATACTAAACCCTACCGAAAACCAGACATCCCCCTACACCCTAAACCCTTAACCCCAAACCCCAAGCCCCCAAGCCACTCCGCCCCTAAACCCCCAAACCCCTAAACCCCTAAACCCTAAACCCCAAACCCTAAACATAAAACCCCTAAACCCTCAACCCTAAACCCTAAACCCCAAACCCTAAACCCTAAACCCTAAACCCCTAAACCCCTAAACCCTAAACCCCTAAACCCTCAACCCCAAACCCTAAACCTTAAATTCTGAACCCCAAACCCCAAACCCTAAATTCTAAACCACAGAAGGCTGGCTTTCTATTCGCCTGGAGCCGGAGGCCCGGCAGGCCTGGCCACTCCGGGCTTCAAACTTGTTTGGGTTTAGCGCTTAGGGTTTAG